GAAGCTGCGCACATGCACACTCGCGCTCACATTTTTGGTTCTGCACTACACGAACCGGTTGTTAAATTATGTGCCCACCTCTGGATTGATCCTATTTAAATTGCATGTGATGCTGCAAAAACCTATCATAGATGGAAATCTGTTAAAATTTGTGGATTATTAAGATTTGAGAACCTGTTCTTTAAGTTTCTTTTAATTTTTCATATTGGTAAATCATTTAGGTTTTTTTTTAAAAAATGCATTCATTAAAATTTGTTTTTGCACATTCTATGATACTAGTTTATGTTTTCAGTTCTGTATAATTTAATTTTGCAAACAGATTTATGGATGCAGTTCATTTTGGTATATTTTTAGAATATATTCATGCTTGTTTGCACTTTTTTCTAGGTATTCTTCCCTTTTTAATTGGCAAACTGATTTGCAAAATTCAAAAAATATAAATGTAGAAAGACAAGTTTTTTTATGTGTATTTTTCACAACAGTGGTCTACTCCAGTGGTTCTCAACCTGCGGACCCCTGGGGCGGCCGTGATGTCATAGGAGATCCACAAAAGCTAGAAGAAATGTTATGATTTAGATCTTGAGTTAAGTCTTGGGGGTCTGTGGCCATGGTGCATGGCCACAAAAGGTATTTAAAAGAGGTCCGTGGTATAGAAAAGATTGAAAACCACTGGTCTATTTGATATATAATGCTTACCAACTGTTCCTAATGTCTAACTGCTTCTTATTTTGTATTTCTTCAAAAACTTCCTCATAGTTATACAGTAGTTAAAACTATAAAAATTTACATTGTGATATAAAGTAATAAAATCTGTATGCAGACACGTTTTTGTATTTATTTTCAAGCTATACAGGAATAGAATAGAATAGAATAGAATAGAATAGAATAGAATAGAATAGAATAGAATAGAATAGAATAGAATAGAATAGAAGAGTTGGAAGGGAACTTGGAGGTCTTCTAATCCAACCCCCTGCCCAGGCAGGAAACCCTACATTACTTCAGACAAATGGTTATCCAACATCTTAAAAATTTCCAGTGTTGGAGCATTCACAACTTCTGGAGGCAAGTTGTTCCACTTATTAATTTTCTAACTGTCAGAAAATTTCTCCTTAGTTCTAAACTGTTTCTAAGTTAGTTTCCACCAATTGCTTCTTGTTCTACCCTCAGGTGCTTTGGAGAATAGTTTGACTCCCTCTTCTTTGTGGCAACCCCTGAGATATTGGAACACTGCTATCAGGTCTCCCCTAGTCCTTCTTTTCATCAGACTAGACATACCCAGTTCCTGCAACCATTCTTCATGTTTTAGCCTCCAGTCCCTTAATCATCTTTGTTGCTCTTCTCTGCACTCTTTCTAGAGTTTCAACATCTTTTTTACATCGTGGTGACCAAAACTGAATGCAATAGTCCAAGTATGGCCTTACCAAGGCATTATAAAGTGGTATTAACACTTCACCTGTTAACAATATGTGAATAATAACAAATGGTATTATTTTATTCTAATGATAAATTACTTAGCAACTTGCGCGATGGACTCCCAAGTTATTCCTGACTGAGTTTTATTGGCAAGATTTTCAGAGTGAATTATCATTCTTCCCAGGACTGACAAAGAGTAACTAGCTCAAAGTCACTCACCTGGCTTCACTGCCTACAACTCACACTCTCCCTCAGCATTGTGCCTTAATCACTACATTTACTTAAACATTATTTCATAATGTGCTTCTTTATTTTCCCTTACCAGATCCTTTTTTTCTGTTGAATAAGCATAGAGCTGACTGTTCAGAATAAAACTAGAATTAGTTCCTTTGGTTAATTAAATATTAAGAAATCAAAGGCTAAATAAAATTTGGGTTTTAGAAATTGAGGGAAAATTCCAAAATAAGAGCAGAAGTGTTTTGTACAATATGTTATATATGAAGGGCTGTTCACTATAACATATACCATCAATGAAATTCAGAAATATTTATTTTTAAAACAATGTTTTTCATCTGCTTTTCTAAAAGAAGTAGCATATAATATGTGTAAGTGAAAAAGTATTTTAGTTCAGAATCTATGCAGATGAATGAAACTACTATAAGCAGAAACAAGAATGCAAATTGTTTAGAGAATAAAAAAAGATCAACTTGCTACTGCAATAAGGGAGCAACATTTGTGTATTTCTCTGCTCCTTGAAATATGGAGTTGGTGGAGTGGTACCTTTCTCTTTTCTGATTCCCATTAGGTTAGCCTTTCTTGTCTCGCTATTAGCAGCAGGCTTTTCTTAAATTCATAACCAATAAAAATTGTTTTATATCATAGTCTCATATCATCTGGTACTATAAAAGTCAATCAACCCTATGAATTGATCTTGGAAATGCATTAAAACTAAAATCTTAATATTCATTCAAAGTAACACATTATAGAAAAAAAGCCTGTTACACTTAGTCCTTGCTTAACATCCATTTGTTCAGCAACTATTCAGCGACCATTCAAAATTACAAGTGTGAAAACTGCTGAAAAAATGTTGCAGCATCCCCTGGTCATGATAAATATTCAGGCCATATTTACTTCTGCTGCTACCAGGCCCACAATCCACATTCCCACCACCCACAACACTTGCCGGATTACATTCTCTAGTGCCCACTTGTGCTCCCCAGTACTTATCCACAGTGCAAAGGATTGTCCTAGCTGGCCTAGAATTCCTTTCCAGCATTGCCTGAGAACGATGAGACTTATTCAACCAGGTAGCTGCTTTAAGAATACTGCCACTATTCACAAAAGGAAATACAGCCAGTGTAGCTTCTTTACTTAGGCAATAGTAGCCCTTCATTCCACAGAGGACCATGTGACAGATTGCTGCTACACTGGACTAAAAAAGGCACTCCACTTCATAGAGGGCATGGCCTGTTTGGTTTCCAAAGTAATGATTCACTTAACCAGGTTGCTTAGTGATGGAAGTTCTAATTGTGGTAATAAGTTGAGGACTACCTGTAATGCTTGCGGTAATGACTTAGAGCTTTCAGCTTCTAAAGGCAGTCACTGACATGCCATTTGTTCAAATTAATTATCATGTCAATTGTCCCAAATATGCTTTTTCAAGAGGCAACTAAACTTTCTGGTTTTTCTTTTTCTTTGAAGACATTTTGTTTCTCATCCAAGAAGCTTCTTCAGCTCTTCAACCATGACCTGAATGACTGAGAATCTCCATAGATATTTAGCTATACCATGTCAATTTTATTCTCACAGGCTGCAGCCCATATAAGACTGTTGATAGTACATCCTTGTATCATCAGTATAACCTTTAGGGATACAGGACTTCATGTGCAGCAGTCCAAAATCCAATAGCGAAGATGAAGCCAAACCTTCCAATTGAATATTAAATACCAAAACAATAATATTCAAAAGGAATTTCCTCTACATTATGTTAGGGTCCCTTCCACAACACTTCCAGCAGGTATATGTCTACAGTTATGAGCAGTTATAACTGCATAAAATGATCTGCCAGTAGCTCTGTCATTTTTTTTCTGTTGCTAGTGCACTACAGAGATATTTCACTTGTACTAACTTTTGGAAGCAAACCATCTACAAAAGTACTGAGAGGGGGCTCAGCTGTCTACCTTTCTTGTTATGCAGCCATAGTGTGCATTGCCTCCCTTAAATATGGTCCGGTTTGCTCACTTTCTAAAAAGTTTTTAAAGATCAAATTTATTTTACCTTAGCGCAAACAGTTAACAGATGTATCTTGGAAAGCATAGAGCAATGTAGTAATCAGATCCAACCCAGGCCATGCCTTTTGTGGTCTAAATGGTACACTTCTCCAAGGAACTCATGAAAGACATAGTTAAGTGCCCATACTGAATCCAAAGCATCTGTTTTATATCTGAATCTGAATATACTTCATATTCTAGCAGTATCTTGTCTTGGATTAGAAGACAGCTCAATTAAATACAATATCTGAATGGATTTTGACTTTCCAAATCAAATCAAGTAGTTGAATCAAATCTGTCTGAATTGTTTCGATAGTGTGGAAGAGCTTTTATGTATGCATAGATACTTTTTAAAATTGATTTGGAAAATTGAATCGTGTTGCTTTGATACTTCGAATTAAAGGACTAGATTGATTTATCAGAACCAGTAAGCACTCTTCTTTTCTTCAGCATTCTATTTGTGAAATAGTTGCTTGATAAAATTGTTCAAAGATGTGAACTAAAAGCTAGGGAAACCCTGATTTGTTTTGTCAGTATCTGAATTGATGTTGATTCAGTGTAAATCCTTCAGTTTTATTGTATGTTACTAACCATTGAATTAAATGAAAATGCAGCAAGAATTTGCTAAATTTGTGGAAGAAAAAGTATTCATCTCTACAGAAATGAAATTTCAATCTAGCATATTGCATTTTGCTTATCTTGCAGTTTTATGATTTTATATTGACATTCTTGATTGTTCAATAATAATAACAATTTAGGAACAAGTGGTTCCTAAAATTACTTTACATTGCTAAATTCATTGTGGTATTTAGCTTTACCAGAGATACGATTATTTCCAGTATTTAATATTTATTTACATATTAATTGGAAAAGGTGAAAGGCTAGAAAAAGTTAGGAGTCCTCCTCTTACCGGAGGCACATACAATCCCATCCCATAAAACTGTCCTTCTGACTGATAAAAGTGAAATATTTATCTGCATTTGTGAAGTCATTAGACGCTCTAAATAATGTCTACATTTGATTTTGTTTAATATAATATGCTTTGTGAGAGTTCTACCTGACTGGTGATCCCAAATCTCCCTCTAATATAGTTGATATTATGTACACTTCCATCTGATATAGAGGATGCTGTTTGTAGTACAAAACTGGAGACATATAGCATGTAACTCCCATATTCACATTTTCTCTTCATTTCTCTTGGGTAAAAGATCTGTTAAAGATTGTAAACTGAATATTGCCTTCCCTTATTTCTTTTTTTGAAAATACTTTGTTTTCCATACTTATTTCTGCTGAGGTCATACTGTATTTGTTTTTCAGATGAGACACTTTTTGCTCTTCCTGTTGCATCTGAACCTCTGATGCATTCTTCTGCAGGCAAGTCATTTCAGCTAGCCTTTTGCATTAGAGTATGCCCAGTGTCTTTTGTATTCCCTTCCCACTAATAGCATCTTTGTGTATTTACTAAAATTTGGTTTGGATCCAAGAATGTTAAACCCAAATTTAATAAACATAACTTTGTTTTTTTAATGACATAAAATACAAATTCAGAGTGAATGTTTTTAAATTCAAAATATACTTTTTGAATTCTTGGACCCTTCTCTACAAGATGATTTAGGTACTGATAAACTGTTTTTAATATAGTTCCTGTTGCTGACATAGTTAGCATTAATTATGTAGAATTAATGATGTATTAGTGTTAGTGCTGCTTGCTACTGTAATTGTAATAAGGTTTTTCCTTTTTATCAGACATATTATATGGACCAGTACAAGTGTAATGATTACCAATTTTTAAAACTGGAAATAGGCTACAGACTTGTGTTTTCTTCCTTTCCTCTAGCATTAATTTCCTCTTTCCTAGGGTTTACTTTTCATGTTGTTAGTACTTATTCTGGTTAATGCTGAACAAGTTTTCACTGAAGCTGATTAGTACTGAACATAGCTAATGCTAATGCACATAACAGAAAAAGCAGGGGAGGGAAAAAAATGCCTGTCTGTAGCCACTAGCCAGTCTCTGAATTATTATTGAGAGATAATATTTCTTTATTGGCAACTTTTTTTAAAAACGGGGGAGAATTAAGATAAAGGAGAACCATTACTCATATCTATGTTATTAAGCTTGTACACTTAGTACTGTTCTGAATTCTTCGAGGGGTTTATTTTGCATAGCGTTCACAGCTTCATTAACTTTGTTTCTATTTTCTTAATCTTGCATGCTTTTTCTGTTAATCATTCTACAATAAGATTTGGGCTAGCCATTGTTTTGGAACCTGTCATTAGCATTGCTTTAACTTTTGAGGTTACTTGCATTGCTGCTAACTGTCCTTTCTGTCCACGGCCACAGACAAAGGTATGGACTTGCAAGAACAACTGGGTCATGCATGCTCAGCCAGGCAAGAAGATTTTGCTGCTGCCTCTCTTGATGCTACTGCTTCTCTTCCCTCCCTCTCTACTCTTTCAGTCAATCCTTTTAAAGAGTATGCGGCTCTTGATACGTTATCAGATGAACTATCTGCAAAACATAGTTACAGTCCAATTGGAAGTGATTTGTTTAAACTTACTACCCAGACTGCTCAAAACCCATTCCTTGCAGATGATGGCAATGAATTTGCAAATATAAAACCTTCATACGCTGCGGATCATTCATTCTGCCTATTTCAGACTAAGGAACCATTGGATACTAAAATAATTCCTGATACAGAAGAATTATCTGCAAGCCAACAGGATTTTTCTCTAGAATCACCTGTTGAATTATTTGTAGAGCAAGATAAAAAAGAGCGGCTTGAAGAGGGGAAGCATGCTATCTATGATCATGGTGAAGATATAACTTTAGTCGATAATCATTATTCAAGAGATGAATATGCAGATTTAAAACCTTTGGAACTCTCCTGGGTTAGTAATGAAAGTAGTAATTTTAAGGATGTATCTGAGAATGAGATAGACAATAAATTAGGAAGTATTGCAGACAAATATGTCAAGGAAGCTAAGACTCTATCTGCCCATAAAGTCATTGAAAAAGAGAATGAAAGCAGCAATGAAGATATTTCTTTCCCCAACACTCCAGAAGCCTCAAAGGAATCTTCACAGCCTTACATTACTTGTACAGAATTTGAATCATCAGAGAAAATTGAAAGCAACATGGTTACATCTCTCCCTCTAACAGAAGAAAAGACATATGAAAATAAAACAGATGAGAAAAAGATAGCAGAAATGATGGACCAGTTTGGCAGTACCCATATTGATTTGACAAGTGACCAAGAGCAGAAAGTTGATTCAAAGAAAGAAGAGATTTTGTTGAGGAAGGTGTCTGATACTAATGTCCCTGAAGGTCTAACTCCAGATTTGGTTCAAGAAGCTTTTGAGAGTGAACTTCATGATGTAATTAGTCCCAAGCTTGCTTATGAAACAAAGATTGATTTGGTTCAAACATCTGAGTCATCACAAGAGTCTTTGAATGTTGCTGTACAGCTCTGTCCTTCCTTTGAAGGACGGTCTGAAACATCTCCATCCCCTATCTTACCAGATATTGTAATGGAAGCACCATTAACTGCAAACTCTGCTGTGGTTGGAGGGCCTCTTGTGCAGCTTGAAATATCCCCATTTGAAACATTCACTGCTGCAGATGAATATGAGAATGATTATGAGAATGTAATACAGAAATCTGAAAAGCCTCCATCTTATCAGGAAGCAACAAATGTACCAGTAACCCAGGCAAAAGAAGTCATGGTTGAAGCTGCTAAGAAACCCGACAATGAGAATAACCCGCCTCTAGAAGATTTAGATACCTCATATATATCAATTGCATGTGATTTAGTAAAAGAGACTAAAGTATCTTCCGAGTTCACAGATTATTCAAAAGCGGAAATCACAGAGTATGTATCACAACCTGTGCCTGAGTACAGTGAGCATCTTGAATGGACTTCATTGCCATCTGACAAAAGCTATTCATTTAGTGGTCAACCAGAAATTAATCTTGTACAGAAAGAAGAAGCTGTGAAAGGATCATTATTTGAAACAACTACCGATATTATATCAAATGGAGGCCAGAAAGAAACATACGAAGAAGTACAATCTTCTCTTAGTGAACGTTACTTGGAGTCATTCCAGCCTCAACTGGAAACTTCAAAAAACGAACCAACTACTTGGTGTTTGGAAACAGAGGCTGCAGGTCTAGCTAAGAAAGAAAAGACTCCACAGCAACATATGGAAGAACTTGGTGGCTATACTGATGGTTTTTCTGTTTTTAAGGAACCCATAGTGAAAGAGAAAATCGTGCTGTCTGTAGAGTCCTCTCCAGAGGCAGATGGCACAGTCCCTTATCAAGTTGACAAGCTGATGAGAAGTACCGAAGATATATTAAAGGAAAATGAAAGTAAAAATCCTTGTGAAATTCTTCAAGCTGAGCTGATACCACCTGCTTACCAAGAAGTAGCACAGGACTTGTCTCTAAAAAACATACATAGCAAATTTGAAGAGCAGGATCTTTCTTTGGAAAAATCCTCTGAAGACCTGGACAGAGAAGTACACGAAGCGGCTAAGGAGGATTTTCCCCCTGATGTTACTCCTTTGGCCTCAGAGAAAAAAGTAGTCAATGTCAGAAAGGGAGCTGAGAGCCAAGATGTTTCAGTTAAAGAAAAGGAGAAATCCCTTTCTATGTTTTCATCAAAGCTGAGTGAGCCTTCAGGTAATCTGCTTTAACTTCTTTTGCATTTCATTAACTATTTACATTTCTTCTGCATGCCACATTTCTGTCATGTATGTTTTCATATTATACAACTCTTCTGCTGAGAAAACAACTATGTCCTTTGCTTGCCATTGTTCTGAATATAAATAGCCATTTTAATTTAAGTTTCATTTTGATCATAACAGAAACTAGATGCTGCAGTTTAAACTGTCTTTGTGAACTTTCCCCAGCTTGATTCTCTCTGCATGCGTCCAACTTCCAGAATTCTTTTGAGTATAATGGCTGGGAATTCTGGTAGCTGAAATCCCAATGTTCTTACAGGGAATTCTGTGAGTTTTAAATATGAATTTATTGAGATGGTTTTGGGTGTTAGTGCAGTGCTCAAATGCAACTATATTTTATCCTTCTTACTATTGAAACTTCTGGCCTACTTACTACCACCTCGTTTTGATACAAAAGTGTATTTAGCTCTTCCATTTTTCTGATTATGTGGAGCAGTTCACTAGAAAAATGATGATATCTAGTAGCAGTTCAAAAGGCAAATCCATTGTTTGGAAAAAGAAGGGAAAGATTTAAAACAGCTATTGTTAATATCTTTATATAAATTGGCAGTGTGGCTTTGTCTGGCATACTTATACAGACCTAGTTGTTTTGTTTCAGAAAAAGTACCTCACAGCTGGAAAAGCAGAAATTGGAGAAGACTGAAGCTTAACTAAAATGAAACATTTGAGCATTTTTATAAATAAAGGGTAAAGATGATAGTTTAGTAAGAATAGGCCTTTATTAGTCTTATCTGTTCATTATGTTCAAGAACTTGCTTCCATTAGATCTTACTTTGGAAAAGGTCTTGAAAAATTTGTAAAAGAGAAATAACATTAGTTTGAGGGTATTCAAAGTAATGATATTTATGATCATAAAGATTTGATTGCTTGCTAAATGGATCTTTTTAGTTTAGAAACTGTATACCTCTAAATGCATATAATGGAAGAATAAAGAATAAAGAAGGAGAAGTGCCCTTCGTATAGCTTGTAGTTGAAAATTGTATCCATTACAAAGGGTGGTTTAGCTTCTTTCCTTTGTATTTGCTAATGTGCAATTTATACTCAGACCTGAGGATTATACGTTATTTTAAGTTTGAGAACTAGAACTGTTTTATTTTATATTTTCTAGCAGCCCTTCCTTTGGATGTGTATCAGCATTATCATAAAATGTGGGACGATAATGTAAGAATTGCCTCAGGTATGCTAATTAGGGCAACTTCACACTGTTGTGTAATATATTGAAGTCACAGAATTAGGATCATTCCATAAATTGAAGAAACAATAATCTTTTGACATTTTTAGATGTGTGTAGAATTGTTGACCAGGTTCTGCATTTTCATTAGCCTTTAATGTGTGGCAAGATCCTGTTTTTTAAATTTTTATGTAAATGCATTTTATGCAACTTTTAAAATATTAATAACAACCTTAGGAACAACGTGTTTATTTGAGATTCTATGGCTCTCTAACATGTAGCCTGGATTAAATCAGTAAAAATGAAAACGAAGGAACAATAAGCCATTATGTCCATTTCATTTGCCAGAGAAAATTAAAACTTATTGTAGAAAAAAAAACATACCATTTCCCCACAAGGTCTCCTGTAATAGCTGTCTTTTAATGGCCTTTCTAAACCAGAGCAAGGTTGAATTTTAGGGGGAATGCTGTTTTCTCTGACTTGCATCACATTGGTCAACTCCCCCCCCCCAGATGTGGCTCTGCTATTGACTACCACCAAACTTTATGTAGCTTTGTGTACTTCAGAGGTTATGTGGAAAAAGATGCTCTTCAGTCTCTACTGGGGGAATCCATTCTGACTTTGGGCAAGCTGTTCCAAGGTAAGGGAAATGCAACCAAGAAGGTCAGGGGGTGAGAACATGTAGCATGTCTTTTCAGCCTGATATATTGGGCTGGAAAATTCAATCTGGAATTTGGCATAGTTACAATTGGAGCCATAAGAATGTTACAGGATTTTACCTGCACTTTAACTTGGACTTAGAACTAATTTGCAACCAATGTACCCCTCACAATATCAATATCACTTTGCTGCAGTGGCTTCTACCAGCCATAAGTAGGCAGCTGCATTCTATACTATCTGTAGCTTTGGCAAGGGCAGCCCAAATAAAACAAATTGCAATTGTGTAATCAGAAGATGGCAATGGCATGAATTAGTGTAGTCATTGTCTCCTTGATCCAAAAAGGTGTAACTGTTGAATGTGCTGAAACTAACGAGTGGCTGTTGTTACGCCCATCTCACCAAAAGTGACTCTGGGTAGCATAAAGCAGATTTGGGAGGGGGGGGGAGAGACTTGAATTAGAATCTAGTTAGAATCAAATGATAAGAAATAGGTTTTTCAGAATATGTCTTGATATTTAAAATCATAGATGTTACTCAGTAGGCCAATTGCCTCAAGAAATTATTGAAGGTATTTTGAAGGTATTTTGTCTATGCACAGTCCTTACCCACTCCTGTTCAGCAGGGACTTCTACCTATTTCTGTTGATGCATTGGCTTTTTTGCCAGAATGTAAAATTTTCCATTGCCAAGCCCTCGGGCCCATGTGCATTAGGTGAAAAGTCCTGTGAATTCACGAGAAAACGTCATGCAAGTTCTCTACATTGTTCCATGATACCATTTTAATATCTGATTTCTGTTAAGTGCATATCTATGCTTTGAAAAAAAGTATCTTCAATTATCTGAGAATTTTACAATGAACAGTACCCTTCATTTTACAATGAACAGTGCACGAAACTTGGCAATTAAATGGCTAATTCTTGGAAGGGAAAAATTATTCATTTATTTATTAGATTTATATAGTCATCCTTCTCAGATATATGACTCTAGGTAGTTTGTAACATTAAAATAATTTTAAAAATGTGAACAATTAAGTATCATTCATCTATAAATAGTAGCTATCATTCTAAATTTTGGTAATGAACTTTCTTAAGATAAATAATCTAACTGATTAATTGATCAAAATGTGTTGCCAGGTGTTATATTTTGTCTTGATATTTAGCTTTCCTACAGTGTATAAATATCCTTCTGACCTTTTTGAAAAAAGAATAATACATTATCTTCAGAGCTAATTTTAGTTAAAATGTTTTTTCTATCTCAGTAAAAATGTCAACCAGTCAGATTCATTTCAGTACCAATGTATAATTTAGACCCTCTTTAATTAATATTTAAAAAGTATCAACTAGGCTCTTAGAACAAAAACATTAATATATGCAATAAGAGGATTGCTGTTTTTAAAACTTGGCTTATGTGTTGAGCCATGAAAACCCCAGTTATATGTTCAAATAAATTTTGCTTATTGATTGATTGAAACTTGATTGCCTGATTGAAACTAATTTCAATGTCTACTATAAACTGAGTATATCAGTTTTGTAGAACAATGCATTTAAAATGTGGAGGGATCACTGCTAGCTGGAGAATATCATTGCCCTAGTTAAAAATGGCTATTAAGATAATAATTACAGAGAATGAAGAAAGTGCTCTCACAGGAATATAGAAGCTGGCTTCTAAAGCGCAATATTTTGTTCAAAAATATTTTTAAAAATCAGCATGATCTCACTTTTAATTAATGTTATTGCCAGGTTTCCTTTGCAAGGATGAACAACTCAATTACATATTAGTTGCTACAGATCATTAGATGTTTGACTCTAACTTTGTTTAGAGTTCTTCAGTGGGATTAAAACATTTTAGTATTTTTATTGGAAATGCACAATCTAAGTGCAATGCAAAGCATAAAAATATAATGCAATATAGACCAAGATCAGCATAATAATTTTAAATTTTAAATTTTAAAATAATAATTTAAAACAATATATAATGCCAGTTTTGCTAGTTTACATGTTTGCAATATACTTTATATATTATTAAAATATTTAAAGAGATTTCACAAGCTCTAATTTACCTTATATAGCACTTTTATTGTATGTATTCTAACATGTATTCTGTCTTGCTTAACCTACCATAGTTTAGTAAAGATTTAGGCAAACCAGAACGGTGTTTAAGGAAGTTGATCAGGAGATTAAAATCTAAATGTTATGAAGAATGATTGAAGGAAATTGGAAATGTTTATTCTCAAAAAGAGTGAGTTTGCAAAGAGGGTATATGATAGCAGTCTTCAAATGTCTAAAAGGATGTTATCACCTAGAATCGTGATGGCAAACCTATTGTGGGCACGCGAGCCGTTGCCCTAGCTCAGCTCTAGCACTCATGTGTGTGCCAGCCAGCTGATTTTCGGCTGGCCCCTCCCACACCACCCTCCCCTACCAGGAGTCTCCATGTGGCCCGTTTTGGATGCCAGGTAGGTACAGGGCTCACGTGGAGGCTCTGGGAAGGCGTTTCCAGCCTCCGGAGGGCCTCCTGGGTGGGTGGGGGACGCCCTGCCCAGCCTCGAGGAAAACTTCTTGAACCTAGAGAGGGCTAAAAACAGGCCTACTGGGCCCACTGGAAGCTGGGAAACGATCCATTTCCGGCCTCTCGGGGTGGTGGGGGAGGCCGTTTTCGCCCTCCAGAGGCTTCAGGTAGGCCTGCTAGGCCCAAAATGGGACACAGGGGAGGTCATGCACGGGGGCATGGGGGTCATGCACGCATGCACAGGGGCATGGTGCATGGGGCCATTGAATTATGGGTGAGGGCACCCGTGCGTGTGACCCCCCTGTGCTCCCCCCGCTTTTGCACGCAGTGGCAAAAAGGTTAGCCATCACTGACCTAGAAGTTGACAATAAGTGCCCTCCATTGTTTCAGAATGCGAATGTCAGCACTAGAGTACTCTAGTGCTGACAGCGAAGTACAAATTAATGGATTTAAAGTTAAAAGAAGGCATTGAATGTTAATTGAGTTTCAGCAGAGAATCTGGTTTGAAACTGAGCACCATGTACTTTTGGACAATTCAGTGCAATCCTTATATAGGTTTGGAAATTGTTTCACATATGTGCTCCTATTCCAGATTTCTACTCGGTTGATTATTAATTTGATCCATTAATATAGCTGCGCCTTACTTTGAAACTATTTAAAAGCAGGCTACAAATTCTTAAGTAGTTCACCCGAGTTCTGAAATTTCAGTTACTTCAGAAAGTTACAAAAATCTAAAGTGGACAACTGATGCCACCTTCTGTTTATAAGTGAAAAGTCATCTGTTAATTTTTTTCTTTACTGTTTTGGAGTTCAACATTTCTTTTTATAAAATACCCTTTATACATATATCTTAGTGCTACTAATTAACTACAAATCCACTAGAAGACTGAATATATATTCATGCAAAGTGTCTTAACAAGAAAGAAGTTCTATGTAAGGCTAGACCTGATGAAGCTTAATGTTAAGATTTATGAACAGTTGGCCTTTTCCTTGGCCTTTTCCTGCTTTGTTGATTCACTGTACTATATAATGCATACACTCTACTCTTCAGCAGTAAAAGAAAGAATACTAAAATAATTATGCAGTGAGGTTTTGAGTGTTAGAAATATGCTGCCTTAGTATTCCATTTATCAGCATATACACGTCTGAGTTTAAATGTTCATCCTCAATATGGATCATATTTCTAAAAAATCTGTTAATACATTTACTCTCGTTCATGTATTTCCCCCAGATTCCAAACATTCTCAGGAAAGCTCTGTCTATGTATTACAGCATCAATGTTTCCCTCTCCCCCACACCACTGGATTTTTGTACTATCAACAAGTAAATGGTTACCAGGGTAAGCCGATTGAACTGAGGAATCAGTAGCCTAGTTACAGATTGTACTGCGTCAGTTTGCTTCACACCCAGAAGACAGTCAGGTGATTTAAGTCCTGCAGCAGTTGTGCAGCAAGCGAGAGACTGCAGACCTCTGCTGGAGGAAGCTTGACGTTTCATGTCTCAGTGTTTTATTTCTCCAACTGCAGCCTTTTCATTGAGATGCATAATTGATAAACCGAGTTGAAAGGGCAGATCCACTGTGAAGAGAGATGGACAGTCAGCTGAACAGTTGGAAGGATAAGGGTATTTGCAGTTTTACTTTTCTTTTCAGTCATTGTGGTGCTATGGGTTGACTTCTATACAAAAAGCTTATAGTATTCATGGTGTAGGGGTAAATTTGTAGCATATGTGATGGCAAATTTAGGAGGAAGAAAAAATCATTTAAGAAATTAATGCTAAATATGGGGGTGGGAGATTATTTGTCTGACTCTGCAAATATTGCAGTGGATTAAGCCTTGT